AATTGACCGAAAACCACCAGCTGGCCTATTGAGACTGCATTGGTGAACCGTGCTGTATTTCAACAAGACAACAGGACTCCCAGCCACCAGTATGTTTCACAAAAGGTCTAAATTAAAGCATCATTTAGTGTTTTGACTAAGATAGGAGGAGTGCATTGTTGTTCTCTGGTTCCACCATTCCATAGGTCACAACATGATTTAGTTGTTTAACACAGCTCTGGATATGACCAATTGTATGCTTTCTCTATATTAGACCCAAATCATTTATGTAAATTGTGAGCAATGGTGATCTCAGCATCAACCTTCAGAAAACTACTTCCCGCGTTTGCCGGGCTGGATTTAGCCCTTACTCTTTGTTTATCACTCGATGGCCAGCATATTATGGATCCTACATGTCCTGACTTCACATTTAATGGCCGATTAGCTAAGGGATGCATGCAGCAGTGATCATAATATAAGAATTTATGGTAATGTTTGAAAGGGAAAAATGTGTAACAGTTTCTAAGGGGCAAACCAAGTTTCCTATGGACAGGCAACTGCAGAATTTAATGCTGCTGCCTGCAGTGCTGATTCGCCAGCTCCATTCTGCTCCTGGAGGTAGGATGGGGAAGTGATAGGGCTACTTGCTGTCAAGCAGCAGGTCAAAAATTCATGTAAGTAAGCACGTGCTAATGCCTACCCTTAGAAGCTACGTGGAATCGGCTTTCAGATCCCCAGGGGCTGTCCTAGAGCAGGGCAACTGCCACGGCAGCCTCAACTCCTGGCAGGCATGGATACACTAGCTGCTTGCAGATACTCTGTATCTTTTTAACAGCCTCAAGCTGTTCAGCTACCTAAGAACAAATCGCATTATTGTTAGCAAGGGAAGGTCTTACTATTGAACACTGGTCACTAGTCCACAGACCAGTCCACTATTTGTTGCTAACCAAATCTCCATTTGCACGCAGTCATTCGACTTCAGTTAATCTGCCACCACTGCTGTAACCCATAACTGTGCAAACAGCATTCACAATGAATAACAATTTACTTGCTTTCAAGCCATGCAGCAATCCTTGCAATCCTTAGTTTTTTTAACAGTTCTTATTTCAGTCCATAATTTAAAAAAAAAAAGAAATAGACACGGTCTTTCCACAAGACTGAAATTTGGTTTAATATATATCTATTATCTTCTGTTTAACAATGTGGCCCTACATTGAAACATAAGCACACAATCCTACAGATTTAGTTTTTAACCATACAATGGTAATTCATTATACAAAAATGAAGATAAAATAGACTAAACCAAACAAATTTACATGCAACACAATTGAAAGATTTCAAATTGCGTGGTAAAATCAATCTATCACAACACCATTATTTTACAGTACTCATACTAGAGAGAGCTCCCTTCCAAATCACACTACAGGTTTGGCTTATCTGTTTCTTTCAATTCTCAGTCTTGAGAGTTTGGCCATGTTCTTGAATATTCCCACAATTGAGCTTAGACTTTAAATAACCCCTTCAAGGTTCTAACCAAACATGTATGGAATGGAGCTTTCAACTAAAACTCTCACACTGATTAATGTATTTTCAAACTGTTCTGAACCACCAGCTTTCTTCGGGTGAAACTGTTTCTTAAAACAAACTTTAACCACAACTTCTAAGAACTGATCCCATAAGCTATCCAAGCTACGGATTTTTCCTCTAAGCAGAAAAAAGTCGATTCCTGATTCTCTTTAACCAAAAACAAATTGATATTTTTTGATGTTTACTTTATCTGGTCTTAAAACTCTGAAGCAGATAAATTCCAATAAATACTCCAGCAACTTTCCTGTCTCTCTCTCTCTCACAAATACATATTCTGGTTTTAAAAAAAAATGACTCTTTAAATATTGACAGGTTAATCACTGACCCCCCCTCATATACACACCAGGCTACAATTTCAAAATCCAAATTATCTAGAGGTATTAGATGATCAGGGGCCAAAATCTCATTGAAAGATGGTTCAGGCTCATGAAGCTAAATGGCCTACTGAGATCTGTATGTTCTTTTATTTTGTTCCCTTCACTGTCCTGTCTCCATGGTGAACTCAGTAGTTAGTGCTGTTACCTCACAACGCCAGGGACCCTGGCTCAACTCTAGCCTTGAGTGACTGTCTGTGTGGAGTTTGCATGTTCTCCCCATGTCTGCGTGGATTTCCTGAGTGCTCTGGTTTCCCAAAGATGTGCAGGATAGGTGGATTGGCCATGCGAGGTTGCCCATTGTGTCCAGGATTGTGCAGGCAAAGTGGGTTAATGCAGGGTTATAGGGATAAGGGTGAGGGTGTGGGATGCTCTTCAGAGGGTGGATACTTACTCAATGGGTTGAATGGCCTCTATCTGCGCTGTAGGGATTCTATGATTCTATCTGATCTGAGGTATGTCTTGCATTCATCCTTTGATTTACATTGTCTGAGTATATTTAATTCATTATGAAGGTATTTGTTCTTAAACGATCCTCAGTGTGTTTAGGAATTATCCTCCACCTTACTGGTTTAAATTTCCCTTGTTCTTTTCTCTATACAAGGATACTGAAAATAGTTTGCTTTGGGTGAAATCATTCCATCTTTAGAATTCTTCCTAATACCCAAGAATTCAAATCTCTTCCACACCATGTCAAGTTATGCCTGACTGAGGGTTGTTTGATAGGACAAGGCTAATGGACCTTTACTCTGCATGTAAATTATACTTGCCTGCTATCGTAGTACTTGATGACACACCATAGACTAAGCTTCACTTTGCTTTACTTTAGCGTGGTGTTTTCAATAGGCTGTGTAATGGACACAGTATGTTTGACTCTTAATTTGGAAGTACTTGATGTCATAGAATATTTGGAAATTTTCTTTCCTTTAAACCTTTTATAAATGACCTATATAATGTCAAAAGTGGGAAAAATTTTAAAAAATCTCATTTTGGCACTGACGTTACTGCAAAAATATTACAGAAAGGTAAATATTTTCACCTACCTTGGTAGGATGTTGTCTGTATTTTCTGTTGCTAGTTAGCCGTTGGGCTGGATTTTTAAAGTTCAGAGTGGGACAGGACCATGGTTAGACTGGCAGAAAAAATCTTGCTCTGGAGTAACAGCGTTCTGATTTGCCAATCTTATCAAGCCAGGCCATTTTACATATGGCTGAGTCTGGGCACGATGCCTGCAAGTAATGAATAGCTAACAAAATGGAAACACCTTTGCTGACTGGAATTTTACAGTTGCTTGGCAGAGTGGCTGAAATACAATCACAGTGTGTGACCCTCCAGTTGTAAGTGGACCAGCAGTCCAAATTTCTTAACATCCCACCTGCCCCGCAGCAAATTTTCAAATTATCCTGGCCACTGCTGTGACCACAATCACTCCTTTGGTGTCGTACATCCTCCACAATGGTGGACTGGCAGCTGAGCCATTTTTAATTTCATCAATTTTAAAATTGACAGGGAACCACTATCTCTTGCGTGTTTTGTCAGGCAGCAGCTCTTTCAGTGCTTAAGGATCTTTTATTGGCATCTAGTGATGGAAGCTCACTTGGTATCCTTAATTGGGTGCCAGCATGTCATCTGCCTATCAATTGACCAAGAAAGTTTTGAGTGACTATTCCTGTCATGTTGCAGGGTTTGAACCTATATTTGACGTCAAGGCCAAAGTGTCAACCTGAAAGGAAAATCCAGCCCATTGTCTTTCTGTTCAGTTATTGTTAACTAGTTGTCAGTAACCTACAGTGAAAATTATTTTGTCCAAAGCCATTCCTCTTTATCCAACCACTGTTGGAATTCCAATAGCTGTTAGCTTCAGTGTTCCTAAATGTACATCTTCAAAATAGGAGGACAGTCACATAATACAAATACTTCGGAGAAAAAAATTCTTGGCACTTTGGGAACACCATAAATAAGTATTTCTGTAATTCTGAGAAGGGTTTAGATCAGTTGGTGCATTTAAAAAATATTTACTCTCTTGCAAGATACAATTCATATATAATATCTGGGAATTACTTATTTAGAATATTATGATGTTTGATAAATCAGTTTAATCAGTGCTTCTCAAAATGATACAGTTCCTGTAACTAACTTTTTCTGACTTACAATGATGCCTGTTAGAGCTTATTGTGCTTATTGGAGGTTTGGCAAAGCCCTACTGCTGTCTAACTACACCTGTTTGATCTCTCTCTCTCCGTCTCTTTCTTCAAGCCCATGGATCACTTTGTAAATCAACTTGCTCTACATCATGTATGATAATTAATTAGACTGTTCAAGATATATAAATGTCTAGTGAGATCTAAAGTTTTCTGTAAATCATGTATTACTGCTTGACTTATTAATTACATGCTGCACTTAAAATGTGAATCAAGTTCGGTGAACGAAAGATCAGCAGAAGTGGTGTTTATAAGCACGGTTGCATAAGGGTCTCAAACTCTGTTAAACAAGCTGAGTGTCATTATACATTGGGGCAAATGCTTCCTCCATACTTCAGCTATGTTTGAAGAAAGCAGAGCCCATCATGTAGTGTAATCAAGGGTTATGTGTCCATAATGTATTCAAATTTATTGTAGACCCATCATGTCTTGAGTCAGTATCAGTGTCAGTTCAAATGCTCAGTTGTAAAAGAGTCATAAAAGTAAGCCATTATTGAACCTAACTTGACTTGTTCCTCACTAACATACTCTAGCTTTTTTTCCCCTCCTTCCACTGTGTCTCTCACTTAGCAGATTGTTAATGTTAAGTTCCTTGCTTTTTCTTTAAGCCAAGCTTTAGTGAAAATTTGTGCTTTTAAGCTTCCCAAAGATTTGCACATTAAAACTATTAGACTGTTGATCACCAGTGAGCTCAATTCTTTAATGGTGCTTCCTCTGAAATTGAACTTTATCACCACCTGGCCTGCTATTCACCTACAGTGATAAGAAAAGCAAAGTCCAACATTTAACAGTCATTTTTTTCCATATTTCAGCTTCTTTTGTGTTTTCCCTCTTTTTTCTTCTTTCTCTGCTGCTCTAGTGATCTTGACAAAGACTTTTGGAATAACAATGACAGCACAGTACAAAAGAAATGGAGTTCCTACCCTCCAAAGGAGTTCATTCTAAACATTTCGCCTTATGCACCTTATGGTGACCCACGACTTTCACTCAAGTGAGTTTCTTTTGCTGGTTTGGTTGTCTACAGTGTTTAATGCTTCCCTCCTCCTCTTCCCACCCAATCATCCACTCACACCCATTCCCAATTCCTCTATAACCCCGTAGATGGCTTAATCCCATGGAGAGGAGCAACCCTTCTGTACCTTGCTTGATTTCCACAACAGAAAATCCTTCCTTATTTGATCCTTGTGTGGAATAGCAGAGAGTTGCTTGTTGAGGCCTGTGCAGGCATTCCCTCCATATTACTGTGTAGTAGATCTAATTTTACAAAGAGGCTGCATATGAAAATGGTTGGCTGATCTGTAATATGGATGTTGACAGAATCTTTCAGACTGCTTAATCCCTTTTTGCTGTTGCATTTTTTTTTCGAGCTTTGGAGGAAAAGGTTCTGTAGGTGTACACTATCACGCTTTAGCAGCATAACGACTTTACTCCAGTCTTCAATTAGGGCTGACTCACTCTCTGTCCACTCTGCTTCCTGTCCGTATTAGTGGCACTCTCATGTCCGGTAACAAAGCTTCAGTAGCTGAGAAAGAAACACGCACGGCCGAGAAGCAAACCCGCAGCAACAGCATGAAGAGCAGTGGATCTTCCAACAGTAATCGGGGTGAAGCTGCCAATGGCAAGGTTGGGAAAGGTGGGCGCTGGCACACAGTCCAGACTCTCCTAGCATCGGGCAAGCTCAACCAAGCTAAGTGAGTTTAAATGGGTAGTTACATACTTACTGAGACTGTGCTGGCTGGACAAATCAGTCTTTTGATTTTAAAATGATTGTTGTAGGAAATATATAACCTGTCTTCACTCATGACTCCTCTGCGGCTCTGGATCATATCATTTGTCCATCACGTCTTTACATTGATTTTGAGAACATTTATTATAAATGTGCCTTATGCATTCATTCACCATCATAATTAATTAACCATATCATTCACACAATACTATGGAAATGTTTCACTGGCATTTTATTTAGCTTGCTATGGTAGGAATAAATGCTGGGTCTTCATTGCAGATGTCAGGATCTGCTCACTCCTTGTAACTAAGTCCAGTTGCAGTGTGGGAACTAAGCATGCTTTGCCCAAAGAGATATGCGAACCAAAAGGTTTGCCCAGCCTGCTGACTAGATTGTAATACATGAACCATAACATTTAACTGCTGGAACTTGGCATTTTTCCTTTACCTTTCATTATCTATCCACAGAAGTATTTTCTTCTATCGTTAGTGAAACAATGGCTTTGAATAGGACTGTTAATTTATTTTTTTAAACTGGAGAGCCTATTTTGACATTGATTTAAAATTATTCGTAGGATACCATATTTTGTAAGATGGTCATTATAAGAAACATAATGGAGAGCTCAACCATACCAAGTCAGGTCATGGAAAGCCTTGAAGTAGCAAGATCCCTTTTCAGACACAAACTCAACAATTTTCAACTAGGGATAAATGAAAATTACATGGTACTTGCTGTTTCTTTAATTTGCAGAAAATCTTATACCAGAAAGAGGTGCAGAATCAAACTGGAAAATGTGATATGAAGCAATTTTGGATGATTGTGGGTTCAGATATTTCCCTCCATTAACACAGAAGTAGATTACACATTTGGAAGAAATTACATTTTTTTGTGCACAGGCCTGATCTTTGTGAACTTGTTGAGATAACATATTCTCAACAACGTGCTTATTATTATCTCAATGATAACTGATTTCTGTGGCTGAATATACTGTCGTCATGATAAAAAGTATTTGTCTTTTTTTAACAGAGTTCATGTGAAGGTAGAATTTGACTAAGTTGTAAGCGTGTCCTATCTGTCATATCTGGCTTTGCTGGTGGTTCAGTAATGTGTATGAGTCCATACTTCCTGATCCTTTATTAGAAATGGTTGTCCTAGTAATTTCTGACAATCCTTTCCACAGAAAAGTTGTTGTGCATCGTTGCTTTCATGAACTTCAGGACAAGTCTAGGAAGAATAATGCACAAGTTTAAATTTGTGGGACTTTTTTTGTCTTTTAACCAATCCAAATCTTTGTGCTAATGAAATGCGTTTGAGATCAGCTAAATAGGCACATTCATTGCCTGTTAGTTATTCACTTTTAAAAACATAGCTTAGTTGTTAGTTACTTTACTAATGTGAGCAAAGACTTAAAAAGCATAGTTCTGAAATGGGATTCATAGATAATGCATTGAAACGTGGCTTAAGGGCCTTTCCCTGACTCTGGTGTGATCTCTACCTGCCCACAAATAGGCATTTGGTAAGGTAATGTCAGCCATATCTTAGCAATGGATTTGCAAGTCATAACCTGCTATCTTCAGTGCAATTGCTTCTGTCTAAAAATCTCCTATTTTATCACGTTAAATAGATGCAGGGTACACCACTTTGCATGAACCAACAACACACAAAGTGAACCTGCAGTACTGCCCAATGTGTGAATTGGCTGGAACACTTCTGTAGCATGAAAATATGATGAAAAGTTCTTGGATATGTTCAGCCAGAGTTGGTAAACATAATCACTCACAGAATTGAATGCAACCAATGTTTCAGAAAATTTTCCACCCTTTTGAGCTGCATTCCAAGAGGATTAACACAAGAAAGGCTCCCTATTGCCCCTTGATTCCCTACATTTGCTGAATAATTACCTTTCAGAATACAATCGATTGTTTACGACATCATGCATAAGTAGCATTTAATTTTTCACAATTTACATCTAAATTAACTTTCTAATAACTTTCTAACAATTTGATCCTCAATCACATCATAAACATGAACATAAGATCGGGTAAGGATCAATGTTTGGCCTCTCACGTTCTGTGTCTCAATTAACATCTCTGTCACTCATTCTTCACTTAATTATAAATACTATGTAAATTTTATCACTGGCATTATACTTCAGTGAAATCCAAAAGGAGTTTTGTTTGGTGTTAGTGCGTAGTTTACAAATGCGTCAGCCAGATATTTGATTTGTTATACAAAGGGCTTTGTATTTGTACAGGAGAGTCTGCTATTTAATAGACTTTATTCCTCTTAAATGAATGAGACAAATGTCAACTCTTTCACTGTCAAGAATATCTCCTTTTCATCAAAGGTACTGAAACAAAGCCATATAATGCAAGAAATGAATTAGTTATTTACTCCATCTTGTACAATTAAGTAGTTCACATTAAGATCCAGATCTGCATCCAGGCAGAATCACAATTAAAACAATCAGCAAGAACACATACACATTAACGTAGATAAAGAAATTAAATAGTTGGTTCTGATTAGAAATGGAGAAACCTTTAAGGTAATAATAGATTGAAATTCTCAATTATTCCATAAGGTGTTATGGTTCATACTTGTCTGAATCTGGGAAAGGTGGGTTATCATTTGGGAAGGCAGTTTTCCTTGGCTACTACCAAAATCGGAATTCATCTATATTTGAGAGTTTTGTTATCAACTTTGCAGACTGAATACTGTAAATATTCCCTGAAAGTGCAGAACCTTTCAAAAATAATTACATTGGTAATGTTGACTCCGCTACAGATTGCAAAACATGATCTGTGCAAAACATGGTCTTGATGAAGTCAAATGATCTCCTATTCTTACATTTCTTATATTCTCTGAGAAACGTATTTGGGAAGAGTTTGCAGCAATTTCTACAGTATCAGTAATACTGGTAATTTTACACCCTTGCTTTTTGCCTATAATTAATTGGGAAGTTAATTCTTTTTGTAAAATCAGTGTTATTGAATACCAATGTCAGAATATTACTCAATTATCTTTTTGGGTAGAAAATTATCAAGGACAATTTTACAGAATTTGATTTTCCCTCAGATAATTATTTGAGTCAGGACATAGTTAATGAAATCATTGGACTTTAGCTCAAATTATCATTTTGTTGCAGATGAACAAAATCACATTCCAGCAAAAGGGTACAAAAATATTGACTCTTCACAAAAGTAGTGATCTTTATTGAAAAGATTACATTTTATATACAATCATCATCTTGAAACTTTTGTAAAATAAATGCTGATATTGAGCGTCGGAAGTGCTATTGAGGCAACAGTCTATCAAGCTGAATTGAATTGCTTGATTTGTGTTGAGTTTAGCCTTTCAACTAAATTTCCATCTCATGTCGTAATGTAAACACACTACCATTGCTATTTTTAAATTATGCAACATTGTTCACACTTCTCGTTTCCACTGGAATCAAGATTCATTGTGTCTTATTTCAGATTTGAATAAAGATATTATGATTCCAATGACAATCAAAGCCTAACCGTCTGTGTTTTAAAAGAGTATAATGTTAGCATATACCTGTGAAATGACAAAAGTATTTGCAGGATTAGACCTCAAGTTTAAATACAGATCAATAAAGAGATGAATTCCCAGGTGTCAGTGGTATGACAAGTGATAAAGTGTGAAACGTATTATTTCGACCAAATAAAGTTAACGCAAGCATGTTTTGTTTGCTTTGCTGCACAGCCAAATTAACATGATCATGATTAATCTATGGCAATATACCCTAGTGGGTATGATTCTGTACAAACATGTACCTTATTTGCATTTACAATATCACTGAGTAGTTAGTTTTACGATTATGGAGCCCAATATTTCAAATTCCTGGTCTTGAGCACAGTATAAAGGAGCTACACTGATTTAGATAGGCAAAAAGAGACTAGAAAAGCAAATCACTTGAAACAGCCAATAAATCCTTCCTTACAGATAATTAGAAAGCATTTTTAGCAGATAGCTAGAAGCCGCCTTGTACATTACAAATCCAGGGTAGAAGGATACTCATGGCATAGGAGGAACAAAGTGCTTAAACATGGCATGAGAAGGCAACCCTTTGAGAGGACAGAAAAATTTAAAGATATGTGTAGATAAATGCTCCAATTGGCAATAAAATTTTAAAGATAAAAGACGTAATCAAAAATCAGGCAACATCTCCAACCATTTGTTTGAAAAATGAGTTCCTCAAAAGTAATATGTGAAATATTTATACTCCTAGAGCATTCGCCATGTAAACCAGTCAGCCAGATCTAACTGTCACTTGATTTGGTGTCATTATTTTGTTTTCTAATCTAGTTTATCATGTTTTATTTATAAAATGTCTCCTAGTAATTTGCCTCGATGGGAGAACTTGCTCTATTAGTAACAATGTTGCTTGTACTAAAGTAAAACAGGCTCATTTGTTTTTGTGAATCCATCAATTGTCTGTCTTTTACATTTGACATCATAATTTCTCTTGAAATGTTTGTGGAAAACAATGCACCCTCTCTCACATATACACTCGCTCTCTCACACATGCATTCACTCTCACATTCATTCTCCCACTCACTTATTCTATCAGATGCTGTCTTTCTAATGCACACATTTGCATACTGTCTCTTGTGCACCTCTCTTCTTGCATATTCACAGTCTGTCTCATGCTCATTCTTGCACTCTCCATTTTCCTATACGTGCAGTCTCTCTCTCTCTTTCATTAGACCATAAGGTATCGGAGCAGAATTAGGCCATTTAACCCATCAGGTTTGCTCTGCCATTTAATCATGCCTGATATGTTTCTCAAACCCATTCTCTTGCCATCTCCCAGTAACCCTTGATCCCCTTACTAATCAAGAAGCTATCTACCTCAGCCTTAAATACACTCAAAGATTTGACCTCCATAACCTTCTGCAGCAATGAGTTCCACACATTCACCACGCTCTGGCTGAAGAAATT